CAGGATTTCGAAGAACATCCGTCATTCAAATCAATGATGATGTCAGGTGAGTAGTTGCCTTGATTATTTTTGACTCGAGTTTTTCAAATGTTTTGTTACAAAGCGTTTTCAAATCCACTTTATTACACTGAAAGAAATATTTCCCTTCTTTCTTCAGAGCCGTACAGTTGTTCTTTAAAACAGTGTCTAGAGCTGTTTACAGAACCCGAGACATTGAGTGAAAATGACGCTTGGTAAGCTTTCCCCTTATGAATGTTGCTCGAGTGTCTCGATGGGTTGATGGCTTTTATGGTTAACGGTTACAATTTTTGGCCATTTTATGACTAACAATACAGTTCCCTTCCATTGTACATTAAAGGAATATTTTTACGGTTAACATTTTTTACTACCAACGATTGAAATGTGTCAAATTTTACACCTAACGGCTAAATTATTTGGCGCTTTTATGGCTAACGGTTAACGCCACTGAGACCCTCTTGCTTTCGCCGTTGATATTTACAAAGCATATGAAATCTGCGTACGAAATTGATTGTTGCGCATGTGAGTAAGGCTTTGCTCGCTGATTTGCAGGTACTGTCCTCAGTGTAAAGCCCATCGTGAGGCCACTAAGCAGTTGTCAGTGTGGCGTTTGCCGGAGATACTTATCATTCACCTGAAGAGATTCTCCTTCCGGAACATTTTGTTTAAAGACAAGATAACGAAATTAGTCGAGTTTCCGTTAAGGTTGGTGAATTTATTTATACGTTGCATGAGAACTAGCGACATCCATGCTTTTTTAAGGAATGTTCTGATAACATTACCCGCAGTTAAGTGAAATTTTGGGAGGCTATTTCATCTGTTGTTACTCTTTTTTCCGGTTGAGATGATATTTCAAACACGTCGGGTCAGAGCCTTTTTCTTTTATGATGTTGTCTCACTCGTGTTATCTCCAGTTATCTCTCTTCTGAGAGTGTCTCGTAATGTAATAAAGCAAGGCGCAGCCAGTTCTCTGACACTTTCTTTGTTTTATGAAGCTTTTGTCTCCGTTGGCAAAGCTAAATGTCTTAGCTAAGGATTTAGAAAAGTTTTTATATTTCCGATCATTAGAGAAAATTTTTTTTTTTTTTCCGTCGCCGTTATGTTAGGGGCCTGAACATGTCTCGCTTCACTCTTGGTAAAGATGACAACGAAGAATCATTGTACGATTTGTTTGCCGTTGCTAATCACAGTGGAACAGTCAGCTTTGGTCATTACACCGCAGTCGGTCGGCTGGCAGAGGCAGACCATCCTACCAACGGACTGAGTCGTGATGGCTTGGGTTTGTACACACATTGTTGCTCTCACGTTGTGTGGGAATGGATAGGGCGGGAAAGGGGGTCGATGTACACTGCGTGAATGGTGCTAAAAATAATTGAGTGTCTAAGTCGTTGCTTTTGAAGTTTAATAATATACATGAAAAAATTACTCAGTTCTGATTGGTTAAGATAAATGCAGTTTTCAGGTAATTCAGTGCAGAAGAGAGTTAATTCAGTGCAAAGAAAGAAACAAATCAGACATTCTGATCGGTCAATAATCAAAGAAACTCACAGACAGCCAATCAAATGCGAGCCTTGGATGTCGCAACAAATTTGAAAATTTGCGAGCGAAACAATGGCTGGCGTTTTAGGTAGGTTTCCTTTCGCCACCGCGGCTGAAAAACAGCTCCAACAACGAAAACACTGTAAAAAGCACCAAGGAAATCGAAAATTACAAACCGACCCAGCTTAACACTTTGCTCGAGCAATCCAACGCCGAAATTAAAAACAAACATGGTTAAACCTCAGAAACGACGGTTCCATTTCATCGAAAGTGATTCGAACACAGACTGAACAATTCCTTGAACTGTTTAGCCGGACTTTGAACTCTTTTGCGCCTTGAAGATGTGAAGATATCATTGCATATTATTGTTTTGATCGTACGCGGTTGTTTTGACCGAACGCACAGTTTGAATAAACTATTTTTGCACTTGATGCGCGTGCTTTGCTTATGCTTAATGATGATAAGCCATCTCGTATTTTTTCATGTTTATTATAAACACGTAATCACATGACTTTTCTCGAGCAATTTGGAATAAATAAGCACTTGTTAATTTTTTCAAAGACCGCAAATTGCACTCGCCCTACGGGCTCGTACAATTTTATTAGTCTTTAAAAAAATTTACTCGTGCTTATTTATTCCAAATTGCACTCGAGGTCATGTGATTACCTATACAAACATATTTGATTATTATGGCAAAATCATGACGACTATGACAGGTAGAGAGATTTAAAACCACGCTTGCTTGAGCAGTAGTTCAACTTTAAGAAGCGCAACAACTGCCAACGTTTTTGGGTCTAGTGTTTTGTTTAAATGGCATAGTGGCGAGCATTAGATACGTAGCCTTAAGCAGTTGTGTAGGGCTGAAGTAGGTCAGAGAGTAATCCCGAGCGTAAAGAGCGGAATGAAGTATAGTATGCCCTGCCCCAGTAGCAAGTGTTACGTAATTTGCAGCTGTAACCTGGTGAAGGTGTATCTGTGGTATGTGTTTTGTTTTTGTAAAAATCAATTTAACTTGCGTCTTTTCACCTCACAGTACTTGGTTTTACTGATTTTCATCTCATTTCCACAGGTTGGCGTTATTTTGATGACCGGCATGTCACGGAGACCCATGAGGAACGCGTCGTGTCCAAGTACGCTTACGTGTTGTTCTACAAACGGCGGCCCACTGCTAATGACTTTGTAAAACAACTTAGGACCCTGGAGCAAGCTGAAGAAGCTGAACAAGCTGTTGATACCAAAGAAGAAAGCCTAGAGGACATTGACGAGAACGAGCTAGATTGAAGTACATTTGTAGAGTACCTTGTGTAAATGGCTCACTAAAAAGTACAACCTGTAACCCCATGTAGATGGATATCTTACCGCTAGGTTACTATGTATAACAAAACGAGCTAGATTGAGCGAGCTAGATTGAAGAACATTTGTAGGGTACCTTGTGGAAATGTGTCGTTAAAACTACTATCTGTAGTCCCATGTTGATGGATATATTGCCGCTAGGTAAATATAAAATTATGAACTGCGGAAATAGCTTTAAAAAGTACAGCTTTGTATTCATTCAGCGAGGTGATGAACATGAAGCGGAAAAATAGGGCTCCACTGAAAGTTTGTATATCTTAGTTGACCAGGTTTAAGGAAACTTCAGTTCGTTTAATGCATGCTTTTAGTTAAGTTCGTTGTATATTTTGTTTCCCAATGTAAATGTCTTGCATATTTTGCCTTGGTTTAAAAGTCTGCATCTTCTTGTCTAGCTCTGTATGCTTATATGTACAGTTAGGGATTTGAAGTTCGCGATATTTCGAGTTCAGCTATTTTTGTGGTAAGGAAGAATATTTTTAATACTTGGGCCTATTTGGTTCTTTTATTTCTAACTTACTCTAATTATTCGAACTAGATGGATTAAGCTTCTTTAAGTTATAGTTGTCAAAATTATTCGCCACAGCCCTATGGCACAGTTTAGCAGACGTAGGGGAGCGTGTGGCACCTTTCGAAGGATTCCCGGTAGGTTAGGTTGGGGGAGTTGGAGGTATCTCACAGTTCTACTTATGAAACTGTTTTGTAGTGAAACTCTACAGAAGAGAAAGGGGAAAAAATGATGAGGAAAAGAGCAGCGGAATTTGGGAGCATGATTATAGGATGATCATCCAAATATCAACGAGGGAAAATGTTTATTTGCTTTATAAATACCGGAAAGTTCATCTTATTTGGGTTTTTTTTTTTAATCAGAGTGATTGTCGCTGATAGAAAGCTTCTTAGTTCTCAACCAGTTAACTCGTTCTCTCTCGGTCAGTTATTGCCGTGAGAAATACATACGGAGAATTGAACGTGACCAAAATTTGTAAAGAAGAACAGAATGACAATTAAAAGGAAAGCATAGGAAGGTGCGATTAAGTGCAAAGAAGCAGTGGCTAAATAAGGTTACTTCCTTTAAGTAAATAAATAAATGAACGTTTATTCTTTTGTCTCTCAATGTACAGTTAAGAGTCCGTTCACTTCATTTTTCGCTTCATCCCGATTGTTTTTGTATCCAATAAGCCACGTGCTTCAAATAGGACTTTTCCACGCAAAAACATCTCATGATTTTCTCGCGCTCGGCTCATTCGAAGTCTGACAAATTTTTTGTAGTACTGAAAGTCTCCTTGAAAATAAACAAAGCACGCGGGTTGCTTGTGACACACCAAACTGGGTGAAGCGTTTCAGAATGCGTTGCGTGATCGCCAACACCTATTCCGAGGATTTACCGAACAGCTTTAAATCTCTTGGTCATAGGAAAAGTACTTTTTTATTTTTTTTATTTTTCCAGAGAATTGCATCGTATTGTTACGTAACCGCACCTATTCCGGTATACCTATTCCGAGGACTTACCGAACAGCTTTAAATCTCTTAGTCACGGGAAAAGTACTTTTTTTTTTTCCCCTAGAGAATTGCGTCGTATTGTTGCGTAACCGTACATCGTCCACCACATCTCTTACATGGTCTCTCATACATGGTCTTTCTTACCAGGACACTCTTCGCAATACATTCAATCAAAAATGCACTCTGAGGATTTCAAAAATAAATAAATAAATGATTAAAATGTACGCCACACGCCGCCAACATGTGTCCGGGGTAAAGGTGTGATGGTTAATAAACAACATTCTTGACAACTACATATCCCAAGAGATTCCTTTCATTTCGTCCCGCATGTTGTTGATTTTGGTTGTTTCTGACAGCAATTTCTGAAGAATTTTAGCTAATAATTTGAGTTACACTTGCCTGTCTAGAAAAATTTCATTTAATTCATTAATCTATTTAGATATTTGGTGATTATCTTATTAATTCTTTGGTGCGTGTCTAGACGAGGTCTAGTCACGTTTCACGCAATCTTCGTGACGTTTACAACCATATATGGCTGCGGTAGTATTTTATTGGTTGCGGTCGAATGTTCGCGATCTTTGTAGCGAACTACATACATGTACACCAAAATTGCTTAAGGCGAGAAGTAATCCAAGAGCTCTTCCAAAATAAGGATGCGTTTGGACTTAGAAAAGATCAGTGACTGATTAATTCGCCAGCACTCTTGTTTTTCTTTGCTATGGCTGCGAATCTTCCCTACGAAATAAGCAAGTTCCAAGAGCATTCAAGGCTACTAAAGCAGATAAAACGAGACACGAACCGATACTTTCAGGAAATTCAAGACTCGGGACAATTCAGTCAAGACGTCTTATCTGCATATCTTCCAGAAAGCGACTATCAGTCCTTAGCGGTTTGTGAGAAACCTCCCACTATCATTGTAATAGGACAAACATGCTTCGCCAAAGTCTGCGTGATCAACGAGTTGCTTGGGGAACCCGTTCTTCCCGTGGTTGGGGAGTTAGACAGTCGCACATCATGGCGAATGATTCGATTAAAGTACGGGAACATCTCAAACGTCAGTCTAGTTCTACCGGACAGTTTTGAATTAGCAGCGAACCTTAACGCCTATGAAGGCTCGTGGGAATGTGTTCCAAGAGCTGATCTCGAATTGACTGAAGTACAAAGAGACGATCCAGCCTTGGCGACTGCTGTTGCTGAAGTTTCGTTAACGCATCCCTTATTGAAAGCCGGAGCAGAGTTAGTGTGTTCCCCCAGCAATCACGAGGGCGACATCGACAACATATTCCGGGCCTGTTGCGAGGATGTGCTTCCAATTGTTCTTTACGCGATAGAATTTGATGTTTTGACAGAGAAGGTAGGTTAGAATTTTATTGTGATAATCATGCCTGTAATTATCCACATTTAGTTCACGCGCGCGAAGACGCGATCCGAAACTTACAGTAATATTCTAATTTCTTTCACTCTTTCAGTAGGGGATGTTGTTAGAAATACATTTGTAGAGGCAAAGGAAGCTCAAGATAAATATACATTTAAGTTTTGTTTTCACCCTAAACATTCGAACGTGGTAATCTATGGGGTTACTCTTAATATTAGAGACCACTACAACATGAGATATATGTGCCTTTTAACTCTATTGTCTTTCATTATCACCGATCATAACAAGTTTTGATCACTTAAAAATAATCACCTTTTGGCTTCCCCTATGAAGGAAAACCTTTACCCAAAAAACTGGCTTTGAGATAAGAATTGGTGTAAATTATGTTGTGCGTTTGCTTTGAATGGAATTAGTGGTATTTTATTAGGGTGCAGTTTTGTGTTACTTTCTTGGTACGTGCTGTAGAAATAATGTTTATTTTATGGTAGTAATTTTTATTAAGGGAAATTTCTGGTTCACGTGCTTTGAAATAAATTTGCCATCTTTCCTATCTTACATCATATCTTCCCAGCTGTTTGTTCAAGATTGCACAGTCCCTGTTGTAAAACCTGATATCTTTTCAACACACAAGGAAGTGAACTTGTACCACAAGTGGAACATTTTAAAAGTTTAAATTTTTCTTTCTGTTAGGGAATCTCTCTAGATATGCTGTATAAAGAATCTTTGAATTTACCAATACCCCCCAAAAAATGGTGTTTGTTGAAGTAACTAGATTGCCTAAGGCACAATATAATGAGGGCATGTTGTGCAAGGCTGATTGTACATGATATGCAGACAATTTACTATTTAGTACTGTCAATAACAAATTTGTAATCTAAGAAGTCTTATTGTAACTCGTTTTGGAAAATAATTCACGTATACAGTACACACTGGTGTATTTCGAAATACATTCTATGCTGCAATCAGCTCGGGACCTGTGGTAGTTCATGTGATTAAAATAGTAATATCAGAGGTGTTTAATTACAGGTATTTTAGAATTTGTGTTCAGCTATGTATATGTATTTATTCATATATCAGTTGAACTCACTAAAATTGGCCTTTGCAATTGTATTTTTTTTCTCACTTGCTCTGTCTCTGCTTTCCTTTTACCCTTTAGAGAGCATTTCTCCTTATTTTTATCCATCAAGCAGTTTTTCAGATGTTGATGATAAAGAAGGTAGAATTTATCATGTGGTTTCTCTTTTACTTAAAGGATAAGACAGAACTCCGTCAAGTGAAGGCAATGGCACCAGATATGGCTGTGTTCTTTGTAAAGTGCAACAGGAATGCTTCTGCTGAGCTGACTGATTCTATGACTGAGTCAGGCCGCAATTACGTCATTGAGACAATGGAGCAGAGACGGGCAGATGTCAACCAAGACCCCAATATCAAAACTGGATCAATACCTGGGAAGACAAAGATCTTTGAGCAGCTATGTGAACTAGGGTACTTATCACTGGAGAATGAAGAAACGAAACTGCAGGCAAATGAGCAGTCAACAAACAATTCAATGTTGACAGCCATTCGACCAAAGTCGAATCTCATTGAGGACTTCAAACTTTTCCCTTGTTTTCTGCTGTTTGTGCGGCAAGTCCTTAAATACAATGTTGTTTCAGCTGCAACTGTACTGAATGAGGCTCATGTGAGAGTGCTTGGTATGTTCATCACTACAGCCTTTGACATGGCCCGGGATATGGTGGTCACACCGCGTAGGCTGGACTATGCCAGAGAGAAGGAGGAAGATCTATTTAATGCTCTGATGGAAAGCGCAAGCCGCAAGCAAGAGGAAATCAAAGACCTCATACACAACACTATCACCTCACTGTCGCCAGAAATCTTGGATGAAGTTGAGCATCGGACCTTTGAAGGGGTAAAAGTGCTGCCTAATGGTGAGCTTTCAAACCCAAAGGATTTGCAGTACTGTGTTACTGTTATTCAAGAGCTGGTCCTAGCAAGAATCAACAACTCTGTGGCGGAAGGATTGATTAGTTCTGTCAAATACCTCCAAGAAAATTTTGTGGGAACTTTGAAGCGATGCATTGAGTGCCTGGAGAAGATAGACAGGGATGGGGTTTACGAAAACGGAGAATCTGCTACGTCATCCCTAAGACACGTAAGTTCATAGTATGCTGTTAACCCTTTACACCCTGACGTCAGTTTCCATATTTTTCAACACTCTCCTGTATATGTTTCCTTTGGTACTAACAAGGAGTTCAACTGGCTTAACAGTCAAAGCCTTTCAAGTTAGTGATCATTTCCTTTATCCTCGTGATTTTATGGAATAATCCAGCAGTATCACTGAAAGGGGAAATTAGATGCTGGTCCCTCTAAGGGCTCAAAAAGTTTTATGTAACTGTTACACGTTTCTGCCCAATGGAATGGCTAATTCTGTCTTTTGGCTGCCTAGCTAAATTTTCCTGTGCTATATTTCAGGACTAAAAAGCCTCAAGGTTAGGTATTGCACAAGTCTTGTCACTTGTTTGCTGTACAAATACTTTCATTAAAGGTTTGACCCAGCATTTCTCAATTAATCATGAATTAAAGTATCTGTGAGAGGGATTGAAACGTGAAATGCTGGTGCTGTGCATCTACATGTAGAATGCAACCAAATGCTCTCCTTGCATGTTTCAATGCAATGACCATGCAGATGCTTATCAGAATTAACGAACTGACCTTCTAACTCCTATTAATGACCAAGACAGAATTTTTCCTGACAATATCTAGTGTACAATATCAAACTGCCAGGTAATGAGAATGATAGAAAAAATATTAATCAGGGGATTGTTAGTTGATCAAATATCTACTTCTCCGAACTAACATCAAAATAATTGTATGGCAGACAGTAAGGAAAGTTGCTAATAAGATCTTGGGAGTGAAAGGGTGAAAAGTTCACCCTGTATCAGTTGTTGTGGTTACAGTTTCTGAGGATGACGATGGCTGTGTGCTTTAATAATGCAATCACCTTGAAAGTACCATTATTCCGCACTATATCTGAGGTTATACATTTTGCTCCCTTTTTTGATAGGTGCTAAACTCTGCATACCAAATTGAGGTAACAGTGAGAGCAAGTTCCTCTCTAGCTCGGCTTTTGTGGGAAAAGATGAAACAAGCACTTCAAACTTTCCCTGGTCAAGCTCCACCAAAGGTAGATGGTATCTGGAAGAGGAAAATTGCTCAAGACATGCTCACCAGCTTGAGTGAAACACGACTGGCCAGACACATTTGCTCCCAATTTAGGTTGCGACTTCAAAAGTCTCACGAGGCATTTGCAACATCCTTGAGAATACTTGAAGCGCATCACTGTGGGAGACTAGAGAAAACTGAGGAGAGGCGTCTACGTCTGCGGAAATGCCATGCTCCCAAGATTGCCAGACTGGCTTTGGAAAGCACCTCTCTGAGAGATGTGGTGGTGTATGGAATGCCTCAGATGGGTCGAGAGGTTGGGAGGGGACAGTATGGTGTTGTGTATTCATGTGAACGCTATGCTGGTCGTTCACCATGTGCCATCAAATCCGTTGTCCCTCCTGATGATAAACACTGGAATGACTTGGCTCTGGAATTTTTCTACACAAGGTAAGTGTTTAGTATAGGATGTACAAGCCTAATGTAGTGTTTTTGACAACAGTCTTTTGGGAAGAGAAACATTAGGTTAAATGTATATGGATTGCTTTCCTGCATGTACTTTCTCCTCTACTTGTTCAACAAATAGTAACCTTCTATTAGTGTCCAATTTGAAAATTTAATGACGATCCACAGTATTTTTAACCTTCAACTTGATGAGATTGGGGAAAAGAAGGTTTCCTCTTCTTCTGGGCTGGGTTATTCAAAGTTTGGTTACCATAACTCAGGATTAGTGTGAAATCTGAAATTCTTAAATATGATTATTGGATACTTTAAAAAGAATAGAGAAAATTGTCCCAAAAGGGCTTTTGAACAAAGGAATAAAGAAATCTGTATTAAAATTTGACCCTGGGCTAGTGCTAATTGGCCTTTGAACAACTGGGCCCTACATTACACTTTGTTTCCTGATTTATAATGTCAATATCAGCCACACACCCAGAAGCACCTTTACAACCTCACCAATCAAGTATAGGTTTTTAAGTGCTGTGGAACCAGTAGCTTGTTAACTCTTTTCACCCTGATATCAGTATGCACGTTCCTCTATGCTGTTTTCTATATGTTTCATATGGTGCTGACAAGGAGAATTTTTTCAACAGTCTAGAGGTTCTTTAGTTGTTGATACAGTAGTAATATTATACTGGTCTCTATACATGTGGTATGGTGTTGACAAGGAGAATTTATTTTGTTCAAAGGTCAAGAGCTTCTTTAGCTGTTGATTATTTCATTTATTTGTTTGACCTTAAAGTTTGATTCAGTGGTGATATTATACTGTTATCTAGACATTTTTGTATGGTGCTGACCAGGAGAATTTGTTCAACAGTCAAGAGCTTCTTTAGTTGCTAATCATTTGATATATTTTTGTTACCTTAATATTTGATTCTGTGGTCATATTGTAAGGAGAAATTCGATTTTGGTCACTCTTGGGGGGTGAAAGGGTATGTGTCTTTTGTGTATCCTACTTCACGAAGAGACTTTTAATTTGACAAGTTTTGATCGTGACTCTCGCAGTGGGTTTTTGTTCCTGCCACAGTTATTTAGGTTCATTTACGGTTTTTGTGGGAATTTCTTTAGTTTTCACTTTTATTATTTTTTTTACCAGATCTATTCCAAAACACAACCGCCTTGTGTCCATCATAGGGTCAGTGATTGATTACAGTTATGGAGGAGGTAGTTCCCCTGCTGTTTTGTTGGTTATGGACAGGCTTCAGCGGGATCTCTATCAGGGCATCAAGAGTGGACTCCAGTACAAAAGCAGGCTGCTTGTAGCACTTGATGTGGTGGAAGGTATCCGTTTTCTGCACAGTCAGGGACTGGTGCATAGAGACATCAAACTTAAAAATGTGTTGGTATGTAAATTCAACCATGACTGAAAAGGACAGTGGACCCTATTGATCTTTCACAAAATCACCCAATTCTTAAAATCCCACTTCAAACGCGCTAGCTCGTGGTACTTTTCGCCATTCTATGGCTTTCAAGCCAGTTGGGGTGCCATTTTTATGCTTGTAGATTTTGGATAGTAGTGCCATCATCAGGCCAGAATCGTTGTGTAGTCGAGTTTAATCCACCGCAACTTGCAGGATCAGTAATTTGCGGGCAAGTCCATCTTGCCGAGGCTTTTCGAGGTTTGAGTAGCGTGAAGCCAATAGGGGTATCGTTGCTTCCTCTCACCTCTCATGGGCGGGATGCCAATTCATCGAACGGTCCCCTGGCACCCATTTTTACCTCTGTGAGGGGTGAGGTACCGTAAGACATCAAGTGTCGTTAGGAAAGGAGTAGGAAAACGCTTTTGTTTTATCGCGGCAACTTTGCTCGTCGATGTTACCTTTTTTTTAAAGTTAATTCCTTTCTTCTGGATATTTTTTTGCTCGTGTAATGTTTCTGGAGTTAAGAAAGATAATTCCTTTGGACGGGCCTTCAGCCAAGAGTTCGAGATTTGCGAACTTAAGCAAGCAGGAGCGTAGTCAGCTGGTTGAACAAAGACACTCGGGAAAGACTAAGGGAAAAAACAAACAAACAAACAAACTGGTCTGTATCAACCTTTCAAACTTCCGCAGAAGCGTTTCTTTGTAAATTTTTTTCCGGCGTGGGAAGCCATTTAGATGCTTTCGTGAAGCAAATCTGAACATGTGAGTTATATGATAAATATATTAACACAGAAACGAAAGTCTCAGTGTTTGAAAAGAAATGGTTAACGTGCAGCGTGCAGCGTGCAACCATCGAGTTATGAAGGCATTTGTGAGGTTTGCTAAGCACTCGAAAAGCTGTAGTTGCACTCGGCTATTACCTCATGCGACTTAAACGCTTATGTAGGATCGGATTCGTAACCTTACCCCGTAACTCGATGGTTGCAAGCTGCAAACGAAACATTTCTTAATGAGTTGGGCTAGGTGCCGATGATACATTTACGTATAGTTTTTTTCCTGACCTGTGATTTCTCTCATCAGAAAAACCAAGCTGCAATTTTCCGATCGAAATTTTCCGATCGAATTTCCCAACTTTTACACAACTGATTTGTCCTATTCTTGCTTGCAGTTGGACTCGAAGAACCGTGGCAAAATAACAGACCTTGGGTTTTGTAAACCAGAGGCAATGATGTCTGGATCCATCGTAGGGACACCCATTCACATGGCGCCAGAACTGTTTTCTGGTCGCTATGACAACAGCGTAGACGTGTACGCCTTTGGTGTCCTTTTCTGGTATATCTGCGCAGGCACAGTCCGCCTTCCCTTGGCATTTGAGCAATGCGCTAGCAAAGATCACCTGTGGTCGGCCGTTCGGCGTGGCGTTCGACCTGAGCGGTTGGCGAATTTTGAAGACCAATGTTGGGAATTAATGGAGGCATGCTGGAACGGAGACCCTAGCGGACGACCGCTTCTCGGAAACATTCAACCGAGGCTTATTGATATCATCAGACGAGTAGAAAGCCGGCGCAGTGGCACGGTGAGGCATCAGAGAAAAGAGAGTCGACCTTTCAAAGAACTAGAGGTACTTCTTTGATTCGCCAGACTCGAGAGAAAACTAACATGTACATGATAATCGACTGGAGATTGTTTATCGGAGCAATTCAGTTAGAGGTAGCATTGAGTGTTTCCCATGCAAAGCGTCTCGTTTGTCAGTGTAACATCCGCTTAGTTAAAAAATAATTTCTCATTCCATGCATCCGTTTCACTGTGGGTATTTGGAAAGACATTGTGTCGGTAAGGGGTTCAGGTGACTCGTGGAGAGGCTATTACTTCAGTAATGAGTCTGCTGTGTTGAAATTAAGAGGGGGAATGCTCGTTCTAGGTACAATCCTATTTATTGACCCCTGTCAAACAACAAAAACCATAGCGCTAGCTTGTAGACATTAATGCCAGCGCAAATTGTTTTCAGAACAGTTTCCAATTGAGTATCTTCTTAAAAAATTTTTTTTTCGGGATTGCACCGCCCAAAGATGGATCGACCCCGGCAGACAAACAAGGCTTCGGTGTGCAGCATTAATATTACATGTAAAAGCTAAAACCAATCAAGACATTTCCGCATTTTTTGTCGAATGGATGTGTTTTGTTGTTGTTGTTTTTTTGTTTGTTTTTTTTTTTTGAAGCTCTTGTAGGTTCCTTTTTGGTGGCCGTTGTGAGTGTATGGTTTGTTTCTAACATTCGATCCAAAAGCGTTCTTATCTTCGTTGTACGTGCGCGAGAAAACAAAGAAAAAACAAAAACAAAAAAAAAAGAAAACAGTTTTATCACTGTTATCCCTTTTACTCCCATGAATGACGAAGTAGGAATTTCTTCTTACAACATTCGTTCGTTTATCAAGCGGTGAATGGGTGATGAGAAGAAAGAGAGAGATCAATAAAGGGATGATATCCTTTGATGTAACACCAAATTCTTATTGCTCAAGTTATCAGAAGTAAATGGCAGACATTGTAGAAAATTGACATGTGGATCATCTTGGGAGTGAAAGGGTCATACATTTTAGTGTGTTGAAGACCGTAGGTAGGCATAAGTCAAAATTCGTTAGCGAGTTATAGAAGTACACCGAGATGGGAGCTACCCATCGTCCCATCTTTCATTGTTAAATTTCCTTTTGTTTTTTGTTTTATTAGTCAGACAGACTGATTTGAACCTTTTTGAATGATTTATTTTTTTATTTGGAAACTCTTTGAATATACATATAGTCGTTCGAAATAGACGCCCATTAGATGTCTATATTTTGTAAATGCGTTTAGTACTTTGTCAGGGTTAATATCTCTAAGAGGAACATAGTTAATGAATTATCAACTGATCGAATGTGAAATTGACAATAGGAAAACTATTAAAATTATTAAACGCATTAATAGATGAATGATGGATGGAATTAAAAGGGAACACGAAAAATTGATTGAAAAATGTTAAGATGTGAGACCAAAAAAAAGGCCAAAAAGGAAAAAAAAAGAAAAGAAAAACAGCGTCTCCATCGTTCTTACTAAATATCATTCAAAAGAAAGACAAGGATTGCTTTGACTGTTACTTTCTTTTATCGTTACTCTTGAGAATCTTTGTCGAGTGTCTGCTCTTGTGTGATTCTTTAGTCATTAGTACGAGAAATCCAAACATTTAGAAACATTGTTGGTGATGGCTGGTCAGTTTACTAAAGCAACAAATTTACAGTTAAAAAATGAAGAAGAAGAAGAAAACGAAATATGACATAGAATGGTTTTCTTATTTCTCCTTACAGTATCATCCTTGAATCAAATGTAAAGGTCATGAGAATAAAGGAAATGATCAACAATCTAGGAAGCTTCTGATTGTCAAACAAATTCTCCTTGTCGGAGGAAGTGTAAAGAGAACAGTGTGCAGAATATAAGTATCAAAGTTAGGGTGTTAAGGGGTTAAACTGTAATAACGTTTGCAAGATGGTGCTTGTGTAACCCGTAAAAACGAGTAAAGTGAACTTGTAACTTGTTATTAAGGCTATGGTAAGGGATTAATTACTACGGTATGTAAATAATGTTGATAATTAAATTATTTTTTTGGCTACCTTTTTATCGTCTTGCCTTGCTTTTCGCTCGCGAAGAAAATGCTTGAGAATAAGCTGAACAACCAAACAAAACAACAACAAAACATGGCTTACAAACAAGAAACAAACACACAGACAAACAAGACTTCGTGTATCAGGCAAAAAACTGAGTTTCAAAAGGTTTCTGTTAGCCATTGGTGGACAAAATCGTTACGTTGATGTACGCCCCACAGGTCATCAAATAATGAAATTTTTAGACAAATCGGATTAGTGATTTTCAATAGAAAGAGCTGGTTGCCGGGACCTCTTAATTGGGGTTATGTCTTCTTGACAAATTGTGATGTGAGCTCTATTTGAAATGCAGAGAAATCTTGATTAAGAAGACACGGACTTCAATTTCATTCACGTTATACACGCCAGCTGGCCAATCGCTTGGATAGTTTACTAATGCATCCTTCGGTGAACTTTTGGGTAAATCCGCATAACTGGATGTTGCGGCAAGTGCTGACACATGTGCCTCAGTTATTGCCAAACTAATGATGGCTCAGAATCCATACGATTATGACACAGCTAGTTTAAGGACCATGACGGCACGGATAACCTTTTTAAGATCTCTTGTCACTGATGCCGAGGCTCGCTCTCACATTGATTCATTTATTTAATTTTCTTGAACCGTCCCTTTCTCCAGTCCAAGTGTCCAGTCCTAAGATTTATACCTCAGACAATACCGTGACATAGTGGCCAAGCCTTTAGAAACAACAGATGGCTTGGTTACCTATTACCGGATGACTTACTGCATTGTTACACTTGGACCTTCCGCTGAGTTATTACATACGCTTGAGATGAACGTACATCGGAAGAGCACTGAATTACCGTAAGTACCTCGTTATTTTTATTTATTAGGACTTAAGTTTCTCGGTTTTGCTAAAGCTTAGTTGGACTGAACATAGTTGTCTATTTGTAAACTGCTAGTGCGAAACCAAATGAGTTTTAACGCACAGCAGCTGAAAGGTAATACAACGAAGACCTCATATCAGCCTAATGCCGAATGATTTTAGACGTTGCAGTTGCCATTTTCCCTTTAGATGATAAATTTGAATGCATATCGACAATTGCAAGAGAGCAAGTTCTCCTGTTACTGATCGATCGATACTGTTCTCCTTCAAAGTGTGAGAGATTGTTCACGCAATTTATTTATTAAGAAGAGGAGATGCTTTCGCTCCTTTCGACATATTCGCTAATGTTTGACTTTACTTATTAAAGGCAAGCTGTTTGGTCTCTATCGAGTTAAATCTTCCAAGTTGTGACGTACGAGTAGCCAAACATTTTGACATATAAGTCCCGGGTAAAACTATTGGGTGGCCAAGTGTATTACACAGGGTGTTATGAGCTGTGATGTTTTGCTTTGTAATCATCTACTCCAGCCAGGTCAAGTCCAGGTCTATGAAATAATCGTGGAAAAAAAAAGAGAGGGAAAGAAATTCAAATGAGATATGATTCGAATGAAAACTGTAATTGACAAATAGAGAACTGTACACCTGGCTAATACAAAACCCGGTCGAGAAAGTGGCTACGTGGCTATAGAGAAACAAATATGGTTTTGTTTTGATCCTTTTTTGATAACGACATTACCAGAATATTTGTATATCCACTTTGCTCAGGTTGATAAAATGAAGAATGATTACGCTCGTTATGTTGTAAAAGTTAAACTTGAAATATTACTAGACTTAAAAAACAACTATCACGTTAGGTGGAGGGTAAGGGGTTTTCTCTGAGAGAGGAAACGCGAGGGTGTTATAGCTATCCGACCATCTAGTTAGAATGGACCTTTGGTCTGTGATAAAGTGAACATCCTGGTTTGACATGGGGCATCATCTGTGTTGTTTGTGTAATGTGGTTTATTAATTTATTCTTAAATAAAAACTGTCGTGAAAAGTTTGCACGTGCTCATAAGAAAGTTTTCCTGTTTCGGTATATTTAGTAGTTGATTAAGTAAGCTATTATTTCTTGTCGCTAGCACTGATTTGTAGAATGTCAAAGGAAGTATTAACCGGCATCGTGTGATCGAAAAATTAAACAATGATTTATTTAATCAAATAGTCGCTAGTAAAACCGCAAGCGTAGATTAACACTATGATTGTCGAGCGAGCCGATGTAACAGGAAGTTAGTGGCCACGAATCATTCAAGAATGTGTAAAACAAAACTGGAACTTTGTCAAGTTAGCTTAAATTACCTTACCACTCCGGACTTACGTATCTGGGTGTGTGTATCCGTAGCTAATAAAACATAGCATTTTTATAACTCAAAAAAGATGGGATTGAGTAAGGTCGATAAACAGGACGTGTAATGTTGGATTGTGAAGAATAAAGTCAAGTTAACCGAAAGTATACAGTCCAAGTCTGTAGAACCAGCGTGTGCAGAGTTTCCTTTAACGTAGTGAGAAATTCTGCGAAAAAAACTAACCTAGATTGGATCATTTCTGAAATCACATGAATACCAGTTTGCTTTCGTCTCATTAAGTTACATGATGTGTTCCTGTACTCTTATTTGAAGTAATTTGGCAAGTTGTGATTTAAAGGTCATGATTATGCACGGTTCAGGAGTGAGGTTTTATTATCAGACCTGAGAAATCTGAAAAACACACACAAAACAGCACTGGATGCTAAAACTAATGAACGGAAATGGGAAAATGATCACCAAAAATGATCAAACTGGGAAACCGAATCTGTACCCAATTTCACAAATTCCACTTCTCCTAGGTCCTATCGATACTCTACCCGTCTTTACGCTAGACGGCCAAAATGGGGTAAGCATTATCCGTCTATGTGCGGATAATGCGTCCTCGACATTTATGAAAACGACCGAAGTAAAGCATCAAGTGTGACCAGGGATGTATGTATTAAGACGGCAACAAGTTGTACTCAGTAAGATTTTATCTACCATTTCTGTTACCGTTACACAAGAGTCATGAAGGCTATACGTAAGGTTTAAGTTTTAAAGTAGCTTCTCAGACTGAAAGGTGCCAGGCGCAAAAGTTAGTGAAGGAGCCCCTTACTGGAGTGAGATATTGCGCACAGAAAAACGCATTAACTGCTAAAATTAGAGGCAAACTGTTCAGTCTAACTCTAGAAAACGCTTAGTTAAGTGAGAGGCACTCTGCTGTCACTCTCGATATACTGGTTGCTGTATTTAAACTGGGAAACTTGCAAACATTTCGTACGCAATACAAGTCTACCATGAATCACAAAAATTTCCTAAGTTCCGCAATTCAGTATGTACCTCTAAATTTCTGCCGTTTGGTCGAGGTTATTATGGAGATCGAAGGTTAGTCATAAACTAAGCGTTGTACTTGAATGCGTAGTTCGTAGTTTGTGTAGGTTGTCCTTGGTACATATGAGCATATATTTAGCGTGTATTGAAAATATTGTATCTCATCAAACCAATTACGCTCTCCAATTTTAGTTCCGTATTAAGTTACATCGATAATGGATAACAAATTATGACATTGAAATTACCAACTCCAATATTGTCTAATGAAATGTCAAGACCCATACACCACAGAGCCGGATGTTCCATTGTTCTTTATTTTGCGTTAAAAAAATCTCGGTTTATCCACACGTGGAGTTTGCCTCTAAAGATCTTTATATCTTCATAGTTTAATCAGTAAGGTCGAACAAGTTAAAAGCTGTTTACTTCGCAAAGCGCAGAATTTACGGCTGACTCTGAATTTCCAATAAGTTACGGTTTATATTGTTCAAGTTAGACAATTTTCCGCATATAGAGGCCTTTGAAGATGTAACAATCAATGTTTTTCCAAGGCTGGCATGCAGTTTTCAAACTTTTCAGTTCAAGATACTAATGAGAAAAGTGAAATAAGTCAGCAGCTGTTTACATTGGTAATGTGAAGTATTTATCTACATTATCTGTTAAGAAATTACAATTTTTTTTACAAGCTGTTTACTTCGCAATGAGGATAATTTACGATTGACTCTTAATTGCCCATAAGTTACAGTTTATATTGTACAAGTTAGACAATTTTCCGCATACGCATTTGATGTAACAATCAATTTTTTTTCCAAGGCTGGCGTGCAATTTTCAAACTTTTCAGTTCAAGATACTAATGAAATAAGTGACCAGCTGTTTACAATTGTAATGTGAAGTATCAATCTACATTATTCTGTTAAGAAATTACATTTTTTCCCTGCATGATTCACGATTTGCCATGAACCGAAGTTAGTTACTTTCAATAATCTGAATAGCGCACAACCATAAGCAGCATTTCAAGAAGAAAAAATATTCCTTTCTTTTCTGGTTATGCTATATTTATTGTCGCGCATGTTTTCTTCTGCTAATTCGGTTAGTTATGCTCGTGCACCTCAGCCGTTAGTAACCCTACATGGAGATATTCTGTGGCTATATTCTGTGCCTATATTCTGCGCTTATATTGTGCGACAACATTATGCGTTCTCAACATCGAAAAGTATGCCATTGGCCCCCTAGCGATGACATAACAGAAGAATACGTTAGCTGGCGGGCAAACTTGTGCCTTGAACATTCATATCTGATCCATAACAAAGAAACTATTTGTTTTGGATGTCAAAGTGCGCATTTGCTCACCGACAAGGTGTTTCTTGTACCGTATGGTCGGTAACTGCGAAAGGCCTATTGAGCATTTGTAATAACGTGACAAGCAGCTAAATGAACGTACTGGAACAACTGAAAAGGTGTTTTGATTAGGGAAGAGCGAAAATCTGTAAGAATTAACCTGATATTCCAACGTAATCGCCGTTTTCTGGCTTTGGTATACCGACTTGATTTTTGGAACGCCGTCGAAAGTCTTATAACAAATTAAGATATTTAAATCAGTGCAAGCAAGTATCTTGCAGCTATATAATTTTGCCAAACTGATATTAAGTCTACATATATCATTATTATGTATTTCGACAGTCAATTCAATCAACAGTAATTACTACATGGGCCACCGAAATTCTAATCTTATCTTTAAAGAACATCCCATCGCATAAGTCAAGCCACAAATAACCTGACAGTCACATTGTCAATATCTATCGATTTCTTTTCCGAGACATAAAGCTCGTGATCAGCCTCTAGAAGCGATGTTATAGCAGACTGCAGCAATATAAAGTACAATGTCATTAGTTTCTCGTGTGCGTGAAACAAGGAACACAAAAAGTATTGGTTTCTCCGAAAATTTAAACGTCAGACCTTTCAGCGATTGTTCTTTTCCCACGCTCATCAAACAGTAATGGATAACATCTTTATTTGACAACTGAGCTCAATGTATTTACATAATATCTTCTGTCGAAATTGGTTTAGCTGTTTGCTGGAAACTGTCGCATATGAATTATATTAACGCCAAGCTAACCAAATTCGGTTTTTTTGTGCTGGAGAATCCTAACAAATTCTAAATTGAGGTTCGATTCTTCATGTGCGAATCAGGTAATCGTGTCAATTAAATAACTATTGAATTTAAATAAATTATCTATGCGATGACTAATCTCAATATTTTCCTTCTTTGGGCAAATTATGACTCTTGGAAACACGTCGAAGTTGAATAAATAGCACTGTCATAAGTTGGTTTTTTTTTTCCAGAGTCATCTAATTGATAATTTGAAAGTGTTTACGTTCTTTAGATATTGAGCTATGGATTGAGACTCTTGTCATAACATTTACCCCTGAGAGATATTTTGTCTCGAAAAATAGATAAAAAATCTTTTCGTAGCTCGAGGTTTCTTGCGCTGAACTCACGTTTATCGATGGTTCAGGTGGTGTCTCTACTTCTGAGCACGAAACACTGAAAGGAAAAAGTAGTAATGAAACGAATTCATAGGGAGAGATATAGCGTATCGTTTCCGGTATTGTCCCTGAAAGGAAAACATGGAAACATGAAATTTTCAATAAGATTTTTGAAGGCAATTATTACAATAGAAATAAATTTCAAGTTTCCATGTTACATCGGATTAAGATGTTTTCCGTGGTGTTACTAACGTCATGGATTCAGTTGATTGTCTCTCGACAGCTGCCTTGGGCTTTGATCGCCTAATGAAGGCCTTTAGGATGTTTAACAAACCTTGACGATATTTTTCATTGAAAGTGAAATAAATACAAGGATTCACCGAAGCATTTAGATATAGGATGAAATATACGGCAAAAACAAAACCTTCCATACCACAGGGCAATTTCCAGTCCCAAACGAAGTACATTAGGATAGCAAAAACGTTAATTGGGATAATGCAAACCATAAAAGCAAACAGAATTGCAAGGATGTTCCTCACCACCTTTGTGTCCTCTTTAAGCCTCTGGGACGTTATGCAATTAGAAAGACTTTTGCATCTTTTAATTCCTCCTCTTTTGAGATTCAGGATTATAACGGAGTAGAGCGACGTAAGTACGCATGTTGGAATAGCGATCAGGAGCACCAGTAATATGACATAATAAATTTCCTGAGAGTTCTTCTGATCAAACTTGGGAGCCCAGCTCAACCTGCAGTATGATTTGTCATTGATTGTTATCACGCGAAAAGTATAGAAATAAACGGCGTGTAGACTCATGGAAACAAGCCATATTAACGGTATGATAACTTTGCAGAGTTTAGCCGGCTTTATGAGTGGTCTTCGCAAAGGGAACACAATTCCTCTGTATCTGTCGATGGCTATGACGACGAGACTTAAAATTGACACTGCTGTTGAAATATCTTGAAAGAAAGACACACTTTTACAGAGAAAAGAGCCAAAATCTCCCTTAATCAACCAAATCTGAGGACCAAGTAATATTTCTGTGATTTGTCGAGGGACGGCTGAAACTGTTATTAATATATCTGAGACCGCCATGTTAGCGATGAGATAATTGGTAATGGTTTGCATCCGCTTGTTTCTCTTGATAATGGCGATCAGTAGAGAGTTCCCAAAGACTGAGAGAAGCAGGATGACACAGTAGGAGAATATTTTCAATCCTTTTGTTATGGAGCCATCGCTTTGATTCGACTGACAGCTGAAGCCATCTGATGTATCCGTGGTAATGGAGTCATTTATGCTCCAAAATGAATTACTTTTCACTGCCGGTGACTCTGTAGTCACTTCCATTTGGAAATTCAGTTGAATTATGAATGATGTCGCGTTGCTCCTTTGGCTTTGCAAAATGTAATTTGTGACCATGCAAGGAGTTCTTCGTTCGACACGTTTTCAGGCTTTCGACATACAGTGTTAAGCTTCAGGACGCAGGTTGTTCTGCCACCAGTAACTAAATCCCTTAAACTGGAGTTGTTTTTCTTTTTAAACTAAACCAAATCTCATCTATTCAACTGGCAATCGAACAGGGAGAGTATTAATACGGTAATCCTCAACCTGCATCTTCAATGCAACGCTGGACTGTGCTGCCTACAAAGAAAACTACCCATATTATACAGGAAATGATAATCCATTCCTTGTAATATTATTCCGAACGGATCGTTTAAGCGCACGCGTTGTTTATCATGCTCGAAGAATAAATCCTGAGTTCAGTGTTAGATTTGTACTTCTGTTTCTGTTGGTATCATCTCGTGTAATTTACGCATATGGAATAAACATAGACTTATAGATGTTCAGCCATTTCGGGGATTATAATGTTATTCACAAACGATAAACTCATTTGATTATGATACTATTGAAATATTGGGATGCATAATTTTCAAAAGTGACTCATTAAGACTGAGGTGCCAGATTGTTACTATGCTTTCGTCGTTGAGTGAGCACAATTTGGAGAACTCAGACTTTGAAGCATCTTCTTTTGTGTGTCTTGTCGAGCTGCTTTTCTACCGATTTCGTCATGATCCAGTGTAGCCGTTTTTCACTCTCTGGTATCACTGGACCGCAATGACGCCTATGCGAATACGCAAATACGTAAATTGTATGGTATTGCTTGCTGAGTCTCATCCGTTCGGAACTTTTCTTCCGATTTTACTTAAAAGAGATCGATTACAATGGGAAAGTACAAGGGGGGGAGGGCTTTAAGCTCTTTTTTTTTCATGAAATTTTCGTTAAATTATAGAATTAAACCGTAGTGCTGTTATTGAAAGCGTCAATCAAGATTACATTGTATTCGAGCTTGTATTGTCTGAAAGTGGACAATGAGCTGAAAAGGCTCATTTTCTCTAAATTGAGGCCATTATTTACGATGATATTGAGTCTTTGCAATGTTGAAAACAAAATGGGTTGTCAGGACTACCCCTTCGTGTTGCTCGTATAAGGAAAAACCAGGGTCTGATACGTTCGTTTCAGATTTTCTAGTTCGTTAGGTTCATTTCTCGTGATAGCTTGCAGGGTGTACTTTAGACCGTCATTTACCTTCACACACATCGCTTATGTTTATCCTTGGATAATCAGCGAGGCGCATATTAAACGGAGTGGTAAGGGCTTTCTTATTTGAGGAAATTAACACTTCATGAAATGAGGTCAAATTTTTCAAGTTCCGTGGTCGCTTTAACTTTCGTTAGTGGGACCAAATTGCTTCTTTGTTCGTTAATTTCCACTTCGTTTACTCTTTTTTTTTTCGCAGTCTTGCCTCTGTCTAATCTTTCATCCGACAGTAATGCTATGATGGACGCTGTGATAAATATTTGGGTAGTTTGACAAATATTTAATCAGAAGGTTTGGCGCAATAGAACGATAATTTTGAGGAAGATTTCTTTACTTTTGACGTTGCATGCAGTGCTGGACTAATATTGTCCCAGTTTTCCGATCAAGCTTCTTTTTTCTTGTCTTCTTTAAGATTATTTTCTTCTTTTTTTGTTTGTATTATTTTTACGGTGGTTGCGTTATTAAAAAATCATTCCTTATTTAATGCAATTTCTCGTGAGTGTTAATTTCGCCCATTGTATTTAACTGAGAGCCCAGTTAATTTCCTGCAAAGTGTTTTTTTTTTAATTGATGCTGTGTTTTTGTAGTCCAAATTGAACTGAACGATAGAGGACGCGTTTTTTCTCTTAAACCGCAGAGGAAAAGAGGTGATATACAGTGGTAAGATTGACCTGTGCTTTTCCTTAGAAGCTTCCGTTCCGCCTTTCAAAGGCCATTTTAGATGTTGAAGTGGATGGTTTTTTGTTATTTTTATTTTTATTTGAATTGTAATCTCTTTGTTTCTGGGTGTGGTGATCTATGTTAGCGAGTTCCACGTAAAGAAAGATATGGTCGGAGAACATGGATAGAAGTTGGCCACAGTGTGTATTTGGACGCCAAGATCTCATCAAATCTGGCTGTCGCCTTGAACTAATCGCGAATGTAATTTTAATAAGAACTTTCCTAGGATGCAGTTATGGATGTGTCCGAGTGCGACTGACGATTTTTAAAATAAATTTGCATATCAGCATGCAGAAGTTTCTTTCCACAATTGGCCAAAATCATGCTTAAACGAGTCATCATCTGGGGTTTAACCTGGCTTAATGTTAGTTCACATTAGATTCGTTTCAAAACGAGGACGCAGTTTTCGTTTACTTTGATTTTAAACGGAAAACGAAATTGTGACGTGTGTGTGTACGCTATTGCACAACAAGCGTTTGTATGATAAGACGAAATTGTTATATAACCATTTTCTGATCCAATTATTTACAGAGAGCTGAGGTGTATAGTCAGAGAAGTTGTTATGAATAAAAGTTTGTATGAAAAATATAACACCCGGGTTTTCAATATTGTGTGAAACGGGACTTCAGGAAACTAAGATGTTTTATGTATTAGAGAATACAATAAAACCGACTCGATTGAAATAAAAGGAGAAACCAAGCAAGAAGTTTAATTATCGTTTTCACAACTGGTAAATGCTGTGCTTTTTTAACCACAAAATCAACCTTCTGCAAGGACAATTTTAATTCTATGATAGTAGAACTGACGGCACAGCGAAGAAACGTAAAAAAAGTAAGAATTAAAAAAAAATTAGAAAAAAAATATAAAATAACTTTGAAAGCCGGTTTTTAAGGAAAAATTAGCACAGCGCGGGAAAGACTTCCATTGCCAAGATTAATAGATCCAAAAAAAGATGTACCTGTTTATGATATTGGTCCTCCTTCTTCCTTTCTCTCGCTGGACGACGAAACTACCTTTTAGTCACTTATTTTCGCGCGAACTTAATTTGCGAAAATGGAACGGGCGTATTTCGCAGGACTAGTTTCGAAACACATTTGGCAAAATTATTTACTTTGAAAGGAGCTAGATTTCGCAAAAAAATTTTAAAATTCAGTGGTACGAAAATAAGTAAAAATAATGTACAGAGACCGAAATGATCTGTGATAGACGAAGTAAAGGTTTGCATTACCATGCAAATGTTACCAAGAGATTTTAAATTTGTCGTTTTCAAGCGGGAAAAAAATATTAGGAAGATCAATGATGATAACGGGAGGAAAACCAGTTGGAGTTGATTTAGGATTAGTGGGTTTGAGAAAACATTACAAAGGCAGCATGACGAGATCTTTATCGTTATGTTGGTGGTCGTGTGCTGCAGATGTATAGTGAGTTTAAGTTATGGGCCATCACAATTGCTAAAGCTGTTTCATTGTGTAAAGCCTTTCTTTTCCATTGTTTCCTTTTTTATTTTGTTGAAATGTTCTTTTTTCCCCCGGTTCTATAGGCTAATGAAAAAACACCTGAGGGCCTGATAAAAGTATAACAAATAACAATCATAATATATATATATATATATATATATCTTTTACCCTTTTTTCTTTTTTCGTTTTAGCTGCACTCGGAATACTGATGATGTTGCTATCTCTACGATCGAGATATGTTTTACTGGTAACTTAATGAAACGTTTCAGAAATTGACAAAGATATCTAAATTATTTTTTTGGGCAAGACCACTACAAAACACCTGCCTCGTATTGTAGATCCTTGGTTATTGCGATGTGGTCGAATCGAAATCACCGATTAATTGTACTGGCGGCTTTTCATGATAATGATGGCGCTCTCCTGTGATATCTTGTCGAGAAATTCATTAAAACAAATCATGGAGTTACCTTTACATTTTGGTAATTTGAAGACTGAGTTCCATATCCATTTAATAACAATAATATTTTATTCACTTTTGTGCATTTACAGATTTTTATCATAGAGGATAGAAAATACACACCGAGAAATAGAAATAAAAGATGAGCTTTGGGGTAAAAGAACTATTAAGTTTCCGAGTCAGCCTCCAGTCCAGTTAAGTTGCTTAAATAAGACAAACAAGGAGAGTAGAACTATGCCTAAACAAAATTATAATCATAATCATTATAACGATAGCGGGGAGGACAGGTAGATACCAAGACGAATGTTCTGTTCTGTTCTGTGGTTCTGACAATAAATCTGAATATTACTCTTTTCGAGGAATTCAGGTTTTCTAAGTTTACTGGAATTTTTATTTTCCCAGAGATGAGTTGCATATTGGGGCAATTGCTTGTTTTCCAGAGTAATTATGCCCTTGACGAAGGGCTTACGCTCGAAATTTCAACTTCAGAATCTCTTTTTAGTGGCCATCTGATATCAAAAGTTTTACCATGGAGTCTGGATTGGCTATTGGAATATGCTCCTTCTATGAGAATGAAGAACGGAGCTTATCGTGATCAAGGTACTCACACTCTCTTTGGTAGGTTTACGGTCAAGTCGCTCGAAAGTCATCTCGCCCGAAGTCATGTCGCCCGAAACCAGAGTCATGTTGCCCGAAATTCATAGTCATGTCGCCCGAAATCCTAAGTCATGTCGCCCGAAATTTTATCGAGTGTTTAAACTTGAAGAAAAGTAACGTCTTAAGTAAATCGAAAGGAAGAAACTCGCATAATGTTGAATCGTGAAACTGGTCGTTCATTTCGCTGTCGTTTGATATCAGAGATAGTAATCCTAAAATAGAACACGAAAAAAAAATAATATCAGTTACAGTATGGTTCTAACTGTTGTTGTTTTATGTGGAAGCATTCTGTTTCGAACGAAGGTTCACATCACCACGATTGGAACATTGGAAAACGCCGCCATCTTGAATACAGCATGTGCGCAAGAATCATCACATGGTTGCCAAGTAAGATTGTGACGTTGCAGTAAATTCAGACACGCATTAATACAAACATATTTATTGCTAGCAACTAAACCTAATTACACGCGAGGACGTGTGGGTTGTCCAAGTGACACCCGGCCTTTGAAAACAAATTCAAATGCTAACTTAAGGTAAGTTCGTTATAAAAAAACACTTATTACATATCTGATTTTTTTTTATCGTGAGAAAATAAACTATTCCTTTTAAACTAGAATAATAATAATAATAATAATAATAATAATGATAATAATAATAACTGACATTGACATTACATCGGAAAGTGCGCAAGCCAGAATTTAAGTAGTAACTCTTTATCAGTTTGAACTATTATTTTTAGATAGTTTTTATTTCTTTATCAACTTTTTGATGCTTTTTATAATTGTTATTAGTAGTCTTTAGATAGTTATTTTACGACAATT